TTTGACTTTACCAAAAATCCTGGGGATCAGCTTCATTTTGATGGGAAGGGGTGGGAGAGTTAGTACACAGGAATATTTAAAAGCCAATTTATGCTCTAAATCAGACGACTGGGGTGGGGGCCTTGGCAGGGAACGGGGTAGAGTCCTGTTTCTTGTGGTTCGTACAAACCCTCACACAGCCTGGCAGCTGCGGAGCTGGGGGACCTGGTGAGGCTCACAAAGGGCTGCCATGGCCTCCCCACTGCTGATCTGCCCACAGCACCAGCCTTGGGGCCAGAGGAGAACAGCCACCAGGGCTCTCCTCCCACATGAATGGAGGGCAGGGATGGGAAGGGTACAGCACAGCCCAGGCAGGATGGAGCCACAGAACTGCTGGCAGTGCACAGCCCTCAATGGGAGCACAGAGATCCTGCACATGCGATGTCCTCTTTGGTGACCCCAAAAGTGACTGTTCCCCACAATGCTGGGTGGTTGCATCCCTACACTCTAATTTTCAAGCTAAAGAAGTGCTCTTAATGGTCAGCCTGGTTCCATTTGCCCCAGCTGTGCAAAATGGGCCACAAGCCTTGAGCTTGCTCAGCCCCGCACCCTCCGGCACAGGCTGGGGCTGGCAGTGCCTGTGGCAGTGCAGTTCCTCCACTGCTGCTGCCCTCCAGGGAAGGGTGGGTGGTGCTTATCTGAGCCCTGGAGCTGCCAGGAGGGTCAGCGGTCAGCTCCTGTTCCTCACACCTCATCTCACTGCTAGCATAAATTTCTAAGATACATTGTCCAGTTAGTGAGAGGATGCCCCATGGCACTTTCTAAACAAACCAGAAAAAGTACCAATGGATTTAAGCCAAAATCCATCAGCATCAAACTGTATCTTGATCTGAGTGGGTTCTGGCTTAAGACAGAAGAGCAGCAGAGCGTCCTCTAATCCTTACTTGCAGCACATGCTGCTTTACCAGTGAAAAGCCTTCATCCACATCTTTGTTTTTCTCTCATACCCCATGATTTGGAAACTGGGAGAACGTGGACTTCCTCTACTGATTCCATTTGAGGCACAAGATGCTTTTAGTCTTAGTGACCTATAAATTATTGACAGGACCCCAGCTGCAAACTAGCAGCTTCCCGAATGCTTCTTTCTGCCCCACATCCATGCGATGGTGCAGCACGCTGTTGGCCTTGACTGTCCAAGCAGAGCATCTGGGAAATGGCAGATTAGATTACGGCTGGTCGCCTTCTGCTTGGATATACAGGACAAATGTGAAAAAGGGATGGATTTCTTTTTCTAAAAATAGTTTTCACGAGTCCCACTGCCTTCAGTTTGCAGTAGAAAACTGATTTTTGCTTTTGTGCCAAGAACTCTGAATTTGCAAAATCCTGCTGGTCTTTAGACAAGATTTGCTATTGAAGGGCTGCAGCCTTCGATGCGGTATTGATCTGAGTTCTTTCAGTGAACACCCCATAGAAGGACGGGCCTTGGGGCAGCTCCTCACCTGCACACCTGGGAATATTCTTTGTTGTCTTCAGCCCTATCAGCCTCCACAGCACTGGTAAAAGCACTCGGTGCTCCCCTATGGTTTCTGGAATTACGCCATTAGCTCGGAGGGCAGAATCACCAAGAATTTTACATTGTTTATTTCTCTTTAGAAATGACAATATAATGATAGTGCAGCTGCCTAATGTGACATTTTTAAAAATCACAATTTATGAGATCATTTTGGAAGCAAGTTTCTGACCTGCTTTTCCTTGTAACAACTCCTTTATGGTACTTATAAATCTGGTACTATGCACGTAATGAAAGAACACAAGGACTAGAAGGAAACCAGCAATAATCAGACTGGGAGGTGCCTCGGTTGGGATGCGCAGTCCCATGGACACGCTCCAAGGTGCAACGTGCCGAGCTCCTGGGCTGTGCTCCGGCACTTCCTGGTGCTCTGCACAACTCCACAGAGGGGCAGGGTGGCAGCAACACAGCTTGCAGGAAGCAAAGCAGCTTCAGTGCAGGTGCTGGTAGGAGCGCAGCATTTGCACAGAGCGGGTGGCACAGCACCGCGCCCGCAGCCCGCCGGCATCCATGCAGCACCGCAGCGCTCCCTGCGCTGAGCCTGGCCAGCACATCGCCGCACCCAGCCACGCTGTGCTCAGGGAAATCTTTCTCTTAAGCAGTTGGCTGTCCCAGGACAGTGAGAGAAGTCCCAGAACTGGCCGTTCCAGGAAAGATGTCAGAACAGATCTGATTCTGGAATTCCAGATAAGAGTCATCCTATAATTCTGCACTTAGCCCTGCTTGCAAAGCTTCCCCATAGGGTATTTCTATCTGTGCCATAAACAGAAATACGAGAGGTCTCACAGAAAAACAGAATGCTGTTTTTCCCTAATGACATTTCCAGGCACAAACAGCCAAAGGCCGCTGTTCAAACAAACAAATGGCTATCTGGCTTCCACACGGTGAAAAGTGCACCTGCAGCTGCTAAAGTGAGTAATATGAATGAATATGAAATAAGAATAAAGAGCTGTTTTATAAAACAGAACCTCTGCTCGCGGTCAGAGCTGCACGTGGTGGATGCTGTGGGTCAGCAGGTGCCAGCACAGCATCCACTGCTCCTCATTTTCCCTTTTTTCCTGGTGCAGCATTGACCCTTTCATTGCTCTCCTCACCTGGAGGGTTTTCCACTGTTCAGCAGTTCTCATTACCCATTTCAAAGTCCTTCCTATTATTATTTTATGATTGTAATGACTTTAACTCAACTATCAATTAATACAGTCCTAAAACCCTTTGGCTACCAGAACTGATAAATAGGAATGGAAGACTCTATTTCTATTTCACTTCATTTATTTTAAGTGAAATCTGTGTAAAGAAGACAAATGGCACATTTTCTATTACCAGATACTATTTCCCATCCTCCTTATTCTTTCCTTTTTAACACCACCATCAGAAGCGACGCACTTCCATTCTTTTAGGCGTACTCCGATGATACTGCAGTATACAGTTTACGGAAAAATCAAATTACTTTTTTTTTTTTAAATGTCAGCAGCACTCTTCCCCATCTCCCCGCTAAGTGCAACATCTAATTTCTGCATAGTACGTTTGCAGCAGTTGCTGTGGGCGGAGAGTCTGCTTATTTGTTTGGTTGGTTTTTACTACAAGGCACTGTCATGGCAACCACAGCGAGGGCGAACGCATCTGGAGGTACTCTGTGTACGTCACACTGGCTGCAGTAAAACTGCCTCATGCCATTTAAACTTTTTATCCGCTGTGTGAGGGCAGGCAGGCAGTCGTGGGAGCCCCAGCGGCAGCCCCTCCTCGCAGGCCCAGCAGTGCCATGGTGGCCGCACACAGCGCTGTGCTGGGACTCCGCTCTGTTCTTGGATAGATGAGCATGGCAGCACTCTGCAGTGTCTAATTGTAGCTCATATTCTGTTCATCTGTCTAGGTACTTCTGACCCTTTTACTGTAATTCCTGAGCACTCACAACGTTAATCAGAGATTTTCAATAATTTAAATCTAAGGGTCAGCTCTTCCACTGTTGTAAATCAATGTCTTTTTTTTCTTTTTTTTTTTCTTTTTGGCTTTGGAGCTAATCGGAAGGGAGTTGGGATCACTTTCACAGCGGGAAAGTGATCTTAATTTATTAAAGCACACTGCTGCCTTGTACCCATAGTGCCGTCTCTCGAGAGCTCATCAGCTGCTAAAAACCCACAGGTACTGGCGGGAGGACAGGCCCTTGTCACACTGAGCTCTCAAAGTACAACAGCAGAAACAAGGGCACCCCCTATTTTGAGTGCTATGGCTGAGATCAGCACCACAAAGTGCCAGCAGGCCGCCAGCCCGGTCCAGTGCCAGCCCTGCTCAGCCTCGTCAAGGAATTCCGGCTCCACTGACAGCACATCCAGCTGGGCTTTAGAGTGCTTTTTTCTTAGAAGTTTTTGAGCCTTGCTTCTGATTGCTGTTTAAGATAGAAAGAAATGGTACAACTAAATGAAAGAGCAGAGGCTTTTAATTGCTAACGTCTATTGAAGAGAGTGAGTGAATAGCCACAAAAATGTAAATGAGAAACAAGGAGTTCAGCAGAGATGCTTCTTTGCTGGGACTGGAGATTCCAGAGGATGCTCCAATGACAAGTTAAGCAAAAGCCATAATATTTTCCTTCCTGGAGAACATTGCATCCTTAGCGCTTGCCTGGCCCCATAGAGAAGCTGTTGACCAGGGAAGCAGGAACTTGTGGGGAGATGCCATTTTGTATTCACTACAGGAGGTTAAAGTTCCCTAGAGCACAAAGGAGCTTTCCTTTCCCAGGCAATCCCATCACGGTACACATCAACACAATTAAAGCCTGCAAAGCTCAGAAGTGGTCAGAAGTATTTGGCTAAATCCAAAATTAGTTTTTATTCCAGACATTCACTGTTCTTTTCCCATGCACCTTTGCATGTTGATATTTGTCAATAAAAATTGACTAAAAAAAACCTAGGACCTCTGGTTCCTCTCACAGTGACATGTGACACCTCACACATAGCCTTCAACTGCAAAGAGATTAATAATTTTCCTGTCCTTTGGCAGTAGATGCAGTTTCTTTCCTCCCCACGCCCACACTGCTGTTTCCTTCTGATCAGCATTTGTAGCTTAGCTACTGCTTAACTGAAAGGAAGGAATTTGCCAATGCTTTGCTAGAAAGATGCCTGTGCAACGTCTGTCCATTCCAGCCACGGACAAAGAAGGGAGAAGATGACTATTGACAAAAGAAAATAAATAACCTTTCTCCAAGCACCTCTAGAGAAATCACCTCGTTATAACTGTATTTCTTGCACAGTTCTAGGTCAAGAAAGGTAATGCTGGATAGCTGGAGCTATCTGCTGCTCAATCAGTCATTCTCACAGGATTATTGTCATTAAAGTACATAATTATAAGTAGTGGATGGAGGAGCACTGGGCTGAAGGGGGGGGTGCAGGGAGGGTACCCCAAGGACCAGCGCGGTTCCGCTGACGCTCTCCCCTTGGCACGGCAGGTGCAGCGAGCGGCTTGGCCATGGCACCGCGCAAGACTGGGCCCGGCTTGGTGGCTGCCTGGGGCCCTGACAGCCATGTATGGAGCAGCAGTGCCGGAGTGATGGGCTGAACCCATGGCAGGAAGCAGCACCTGTTCAGGCGGGCGCCCAGCAGCCCGCTGGGAGGCGTGAAGGCCCATTTCAGTGGGGGCATGGCCAAAGCGTTCTTCAGGCTGCAGAAGTTCCTTCGGCGGACCCAGTTTCTGCTCTTTTTCCTGACTGCCGCGTACCTCATGGCTGGCAGCCTCCTGCTGCTGCAGCGCGCCCGCCTCGCAGCCCAGCAGGGACCACGCGGGGCCTCAGGCCTGGCACTGCCAGGGCCAGACACGGGGCCGGGAGCCAAGGCTGCAGACCCTCGCCTGGCGCATAGCCCTGGTGCCCAGCTCCCCCTGGGAAAGGACACGCTGCCCGGGGCGGAACCGCAGCACAGCCTGCGCTGGATGGCACCTCGCAACTCAGAGCTGAGGTGGCTGCGGAGGAGGTGGTTCCATAGGTTCATTGGTGACCAGGAGCCCATGCAGACCGCGGGACTCAGAGCCACGAGGGGTACCGCCGAGCACAAAGGTAAGGACGTGCCCTCTGCCCGCCTTCTGGCAGGCGCACAAACTGCTGCCCCACAGTCCAACCCAAGCAGAAACCAGCAGGCCTGGCGAGGTGCGCCAGAAGCACCTTCCCGCAGCTCAGCAGCACTTCCACAACAGTTCGTAAAGGCCTGCGCAGGCCGGAGTAAGGCTGTGTCCCTGCACACTGAGCTGTAGCTCCAGAAATGTATTTCTGCTGGTTGAGTGCAAGTCCAGAGAGAAATATACTCCTCTGATTTAAATGATTCTCTCTTCAAGCAGGCAGAGAAGAATGCTGCTGAAATCTGTTTCTCTTTCTCAGCATAGGGAACACTTAAAAATGAGTTTTATTACTTTACTTGTCTAAAGCCACGCAGTAACTTCTGTTTAGAAGTACGTTTCTGCTCTCCAACACAGACTCAGCTCTACTGTCACAAACACATTTCCTCTTCCTGACCTGCCCTCTGCAGCCATCCCCACAAGCACGCTGTCTTCAGAGGGATGAGGCACAGGTGCACGCCACTCCTTTAGACCCTACCTGAGCTCTAAATGAGAAAGAACCCCTGAATCAAACTCTCAGTGTTTGGTGAGTTTGATGGAAATTTGCCACCAGCCAACAGACTGCAGGGGAGTGCGCACCACTGCACGGGGCAGGGCCAGGGCAGCGCATTAGCAGCCAGAGCACAAGGTACAAAACTGCATTTTCCAATCCTCATGATTAAATAATATCTTAAATGGAAAGCAGTTCAGGATTGACAGAAATCAGAGCTCACTTCCCTGCGAGCCCAATACTTACTGCTACTAATAAATACATACATGAACCGCTATGGTTTATTCAGTAGAAAATCTCATAAAAACCAGTCCCCAGGGCAAACGAAGAAGCAAAACAGGCAACTCCAGGCACTCACACCTCTGCACGGTTCCTGCCCTGGGACTGCCTGCTCTCGCCATGCTGCAGCCCCAGCTCTGCTTGCCTGGAGGCTGAGCACAGGGATGCAGAAAGCATCAGGGTTCACGCTGGGTCACTGCGATTAGGGAGGCAGGGATGTGTTGGCCATTTGTACCAACAGCTGTACAGATCTGACCTCCTGGCACCTGTGGGCACAGGGCTTTGCCGCTCACATAAGAAAAAGGCCAGGCTGCTCTCAGCACAGCATCAGACATCAGCAGCAGGAAGCCCCTGCGTGCCCGCTGTTCAACACCCTACTCTTTTGAAGCCGCAGCACTGGGCTATGGCTTTGCTGTCTTTGATGCACTACTTTTCAGAAGAACTGGCAGCGCAAGAGGAATGGGATCAGAAGGACTAGGCACCATGTTACTACACTGCTCCTTCTTCTGTTGAAAAAATTAATCCAAAGGAGCACCTTCTGCAAAAATCCCACTAAAACATGCTACCAAGTGACTCCTACTGTGTGAAATGCTGGGAATGGAAACAAGAAGGCAACAGTGGCAGTGTGTGAAGCTGCATCATGCAGCTGCTGGAGCCTCTGAGGCACAGAGCTCCACACGCTGCTGCCAACATCCTGCTCACAGGAGCAAGGGCTGTCCCAGCAGCCTGCTGCCTTTCCCGGCCTGCTCTGGGCATACAGCCCAATGGCAGCACCTGGCCAAACACAAAATGAGCCCAATGCTGACCTAAGCCCAGCATGGGGGCATGGGGACCTGGTGCTCACCTGGCAGATGGGCTGCCACAAGCAGCACATGGTCTTGGCACCACCAGCTGAACCTGGCACTGGCCAGCACCTGCTTTAAGGGACTCCTTGCGGATAGAAATCCAGAGAAGAATCAACGGAACCCTCCAAGACTTGCCGGGCTGCAGTGGGGCACAGCTGGCCCTGAGCTCTGCCTGCTGCCAGCTCCTGGTTCCCTTCAGCCATGGCCTGCTCTTCACCCTGGTGGGGCTGCGTTATTTTTTTCTGGTTAATGAAAGAGTAGATAAAAGGTAGAGCAACACAGTGAGTGCCTGAGCTACTCGGATATGAGACAGACCATGAACTCGTTCTGCACATTGCTTGAACTGCTTTTAAAACTTCTTTTAGAAATGAAAGGATTAATTTTGAAAATTATCCATAACATTAGTTAAGGCTAGTGCCCGTGTCAGTCATTAAGCTAGCGCCTTGCTCGAGTTCTAATTGCTGACTGAGGCAGCCAGAAGGACTATTTATTGCTACCAGCCATTGAATTATGTTGATTCAAATACACATCATTTGAATATCTGAACACGAAGTGACACTGTTAATAACAGTATTGCTAACAAGCATTAGAAAGCTTTTGGAAATTATGATCAATTAAAAATGTAACTTCCTGTGCAGAGCATATTATCTCCCTGACTCCTTACGGCCATGCAGCCTCATTCTTGCTCTCTGATCCCTTCTGAGCACAGCACTCTCCCCGCGGCCACAGTGCCTATGGATGCTCAGTGCCAGACAGCACTGTGCCCGGGCTCTGCCCAGCAGACAGTGGCTTTAGCTTTATTTTAGTCTATTTTATTGTTAATATAATGCTTTTTAATTTGGGTTTTCATCATATATTCTCCTCCTCTCCGCAACTCCTGTTATATAATTTCCCAGCGTTGTCATCTCAATACTGCTACATTCAAAATCAAATTTCCTTTCTCCATCGTATATTAATGATAACATGCACCTGTAACCACAAAATTGCTGTACAATAGCAGGGTGCTACCTCAGCCTTCCAATGACAAAAAAAAACAAAAACAAAAACAAAAACAGGCTAGATTTGTATTTTGTTTTGTTCAGGACAACAAAAGAGGCTTAAGAGAGGATGCAGTATAGCAGAAATACTTCTCTTTCATATGCTAACTAAAGCAAGACATAAGCTAAAAGATTCTCTCACTCCAAAGAAGATAGCTTAACGTGATAGAAGCAACGCTGCCTAGTTAGGGCTGGAGTTATCTTTCCATTATAGCTTTAATATAACTTTACATACCCAAAGGAAATTGATTTTCTTAACATTTTTCTTGCACCATCTTATTCTCAACTAAAGATTTTGAAAAAAACTTGGGAGAAATCCAAAAGGGTACCCCACAGTCCCACCGTTTTAAGGACCATCTGCTCTGCCCCCACGCAGCCCCCTGGCAGCACCCAGCTGCGGATGGTTGCTGCCCTTCTCAAAGCACAGCCCTGACTGAGACCTGCTGCTGTGCACATGTCCTGACTCTGCCTTACATGCACACAGGCACCTACGTGGGCTGCTTCAGCGATGACTCGAAGGAGAGGACACTGAAGGGAGCTGTATTCTACGACTTACGAAAAATGACAGTGGCTCACTGTCAGGAGGCGTGTGCTGAGAGGTGAGCTGCTCTTTCACAGTGAGTTCTCCTTTTTTCTGACAGTAAGCAGAGCTGTATTTGAGATGGGAAAAGCCCACATACAGTAAACATGCAGCATCAGTGAAAACCTTGACTGTCTCAGACCTTTCAATGTATAGCAGCTCTGCTACCCTGTCTGGGGCAGACTGCGTCACCGCTGCCCATCCACTGCTCTTACTGCAGCACAGCTACTTAGACGCATTTTCTGTTGATCTGGTCAAAATGTGGCATTCTGTCAGCTGTTGGTTAGGTGCTTCCTCAGCCCAGATCTCTGCGCTCATTGCAGTACAGCCCCGGCAGCATTGGGGCTCCCAGCCCAGCACGCCCCAAGGAGCAGCGTGCGGCACACACAGCGTGTTCAGAGGGCACTACCAGGCCTCCACCCCGCACAGGGTGCTCGAAGGGCCCATTCTGACCGTGCCTGTGCTGCACCCACAGGGCCTATGCCTACGCGGGTCTGGCGTATGGAGCGGAGTGCTACTGTGGGAACAAGCTCCCAGCCACCGCCTGCAGGCCCGAGGAATGCAACAGCGAGTGCAAGGGCGAGAAGGGCTCGGTGTGCGGCGGAGTGAACCGGCTGTCAGTCTACAGGGTGGAGGAGCTGCAGGCGGCGGCACCACGACGTAAGTGCAAGCGATGCCGCTTTCAGTGCCGCGCTGGCACTGCGCATGCTGCCGCTGCTGGGAGCTGTGGGACAAAGCTGCAGTTTTGGTGTGGGCCCTGGCTCCCTCCTGCAGCAGCAGTGCTGCATGGGAAGGCAGCAGCAGCGGGAGGCAGGGCAGTGCTGCACGGGGATTGCAGCAGAGCAGAACTTCAGCTGAGAAAACTGCTTCCTTCTGCATCCTTGGCAAAGGCACAAGACCTCATTCTTAGGACACAGTCATAGAATGGCTTAAAAACACCCACCAGTACCATCCTTAGCTCAGAAATAATCCTAAGCAAAGGAAATCCTGTGACTGCAGCAGGAGAATAGAGGGCAGAGACATCAGTGCCAACGGTACCTTAAGAGAAGTCTCAGTAACAGGAATGAGACCCAGAGTTCCGCTTTCGCGAGGTCTTTGTTCTAGCAGCACCTGAGATGTTTGTTTCATCTTTGACTGACACTGCTTGTCACCTACTCTCTGTAACACTCATCTGCTCAGTTAGCTGCCATAGGAGACAAAACAGATCAACCTCTGGGCCCACACAAGGCATATGAACACCCACACTGCTGAGCACAGCTGTGTTTTTGGCAAGCTCACAGGACCCTTTCGATTTAATTTTCTCAGGACAATCACCAAGACCAACATTGTGCCAGTACTGATGGCACTTCACTTCTTAAAGAGTTGAAGTTTGTACCATCATCCATCAGCCACATACGAATTATATACCAAAGGCGTGTAGACCTAAATTGCCAGTGTCGGGCTGACTGGCACACTGGCAGGTGTTTAAGTTTTCAGTGTGAAAATACATACATGTATTTCACAGGAAAAGACAGCATTTTTTTCTTAACTATTAATGAATAAGTCATCAAATTAACCTAGCCTGGAGCAAGATTTGTATTTTGCTTGCTCTCAGTAACACCTGATGTTTGACTGTTTGAAAACTACCACTGAGATCAAGATAGCTGAGTGGCCAACGAAAGCATTAATCACAATGATAATTGTGAAAGTATATTGGGAAGTAACTCTAAAACCAGCAGAATCCATGAGGGACAGCAGCAGTGCAGAATGCAGCTGGGCAGCAGCTCCCGGTGCAGTAGGCACAACACTGCCCTCCCAGCGAGGCTCTGCTGCTTGTGCCCATTGTCTGTGGGCAGACACAGGACTTGTGTCCCCTTCACCCCACAAGTGCAGAAGCGTGAAACGTGCATCTCCTGCAGCCTGGGGAGCTGCACATTCCCCAGGAGCCTTCAGAACTGCCCTGCCCATCCGCTGCCATCCAGCTGCAGCCCTTTCCCACATTGGTTCTGGTGAGTTCTGTTTGTGGTGCAGACCAAGACTCGAAAGACCCAAAGAGACCATTAGCCCTATTAAGTCACTTTGGGTGAATTATGACAATGGAGAGTTGATACAGAGAGATGAAGACATTTTCCACATCTGTAAAGCTCAGAGAATCCTAAGAACTACGGCAGTGTCGCACAGCATGTGGACCTCTTCCCTTTTCTAACCCAGCCACACGCATGTTGTTTTCTCCATTACCATTAGTTCATCTGTGAGAATGCATCGCCTCGCCCGGGACAGGGAGCTTCCACGATAGATAGCTCTGGAGTTTTGCTGGGTTCTGTCAGGGACACTTCTGAAGCAGGAGGGAAGAATTGCACTGCTGCTTGTAACTCCGATTTGGGCCACACTCCGACTTCAATCAGCGATGCAAAAAAATAAAAATGGAGCAATTCTGCCCGGCTCGGCAGCGTATATAGAGGGGCAGGTCAGATCAGAGGCTGATGCTAAAGACGTCAGGAAAGCAGTTCTCCCTGAGCAGCTTACAAACGCCTAGTTCAGATTTTGAAGACTGCAGCAAACTCCCTTGCCCTGAAAAGAAGGCGAGGGAAGGGGAAGAGGAGGAGCAGATGTGCAGGAAGGTGGGTCCCCGCGGGGGCTTTCAGGATTCATTTAAATTCCTTTTCTGGTGCAGATGAGGGGAAGCTTTGTAGATTTTTATCAGGGCTTTTAAGCCTTTCAGGGGAAGGCATGTCTTCAAAAGAAAACTAGGAGTTGCAAACAATGGCAATGCCCTCCACTGATGGAATTTAATTTAAACTCCTTGCCGCACTCTGCTTTCAGGGGTTAGTAAAAGCCAAAAGCATGTGCTCCTTTAATACCACAGGATTTGCAACACATTTTTCTAGTGTATATCATGGTTTCTCTTATTTCTAAAGTACTTGGAGTATGAGATTTTCTTCATTATTCTCTAGCTTCTGAACCTAATATTGTTCTTTGTGACAGAGGCAGGATACCATGGACGTTGTTTTCTCAAGAGAAACCTATTTCATATCCCTGCAGGGAGGAATGTTATCTATCGAGGATGTTTTAGAGCTCCAGAAAATTTAACAGACACCTTTCCAGCCTCTTTGATACAGCCCAATTTGACGGTGGAGATGTGCTCTGAATTTTGCTCCAAGAAAGTAAGAACAGTTCTCATTTCACATCCTTTCTTCTTTTTTGTTACTTTAAACTTTAATCTACTAAAGGAATAGCAGAGATTAGTGCCCTAGAGCTCTAAATTTGTGAATAAGTTTCTGAAGGATGAAACTCACCGGAGCCAATACCCAGTGACGCCAGGCACCATGCTGACCTTCCAGAATCAAGCATTAGAGAACATCTGTGATGATGATGACAATGATGATTTGCCTGCAAGAAGTCTGGCAAAATCCCCCTGCATTTGGAAAGCAGCAGTGGCATAGCCACAGTCCCCACTGCTGCACACCATTTGGATATCACAGTGCTCACTTCTTGCCTACTGTAGTACCACTTCTTATCTCCAAGCAAAACGATACACAACACAAAAAAAATACCCCATTACATTTTTTCTTGTTTTTACATTTCCCTGAAGCCATGTTCTCCTTTTCCTGCAGTGGCAATGCCATTTTGGGCATACTTGTTGGCAGACATAGAAGCAATTCGGCATGTTGTTGGCACAAATGCAAAAGCTGTGTATTAGCTATGAATGAATGATGCAGGAAGGAAAAGCTCATGAAGTCCATGCTAGAATTTTTTGATGAAACCTACGCAACACTGATTGCAGGTGTTGGGGAAAAAGGTCACAATCCAATTTCATAGTTCGTTTTCAGTGTACACTTCCTACAAATAATCAAGCAGAGTAAAAAAGCTCTACTATGACCCAACCCAGTTCAGAATGCAGAAAAAACTACAGTGCACACAAACTGCCAGCAACTCAAGAGAAGTGGGGCTGGAGTGCGAAAAACCAGTGTGAGCTTTGATTCCAGACAGCAGAGCGAGCCCTGTGATAACAGTGGAAATAGTCACCCTGACTTCAGATCCTTTCCTTTCAGATCAAGATGGACAGCTTCCTGGCTGACACAGAACGACTTAACTCTCCTGCAGTCAGGACAGGATGCTCATTTTAGTTCCATCCATTGCACAAAAGAGAATAATTCCCTCAAGTCCCGTGCGTTCTGAAGAGGCCGGTGGGCTTTTCATGGGACTGGTTTGAGGCCTATATTTAAATACACAAATTACTCTCTTGTCTGTGGGGACTTCGAAGAAAACCAAACTGCAACACAGCACCTTTAGTTGTTAGTCTTGCAAATGGCTTTGTGCAGTCACAAGAGTAAAGCTCTAGTCCTTGGAAGCATGCGAGATGAATCTGAGGTAAAAAACTTTAAGAAACCTGCTAAATAGCATTACTGATCAATTTTTTTCTTAATTGTGAGTGATGATATGCCTTAATAGCTATCCATTATCACCCCATAACACAGAGCCATGAATGTATCTCTTTGCCAGAAGCCATAATTTTCATATATGCTTTTTTGAAAGCCAACCTGCATAGTAAGTTAGCCATCTCCATCTGAATTTACATTTTTATATATTCAGTCATTTTACCTTTCAGCTACTTTTTATAGTTACATACAATGAAAACAAAAATAAGGCATGCAAGTCTTGAGAAGAGAACCCCACCAGCTCAAAGGATCCAAAAGCCATTCCAGCAACTTTGCACACTCGGACTTGACCACCTCTAGGATGCTTCCTAGATGTTCTAATTTCAAAACCGACCTGCTGTTTTGGTTTCTAGATACAGCTACATGCTATTATGTAGGGATAGCATTAGTACAAAAGCTAGTGGAGGCAATGGGAGCAGAGTCCAGGTACACAGCTTTTACTACTACTTACGATGAAAACCTAAGCCCAACTGCAGGAAAGCTGGGGAAAGGCACTGAAACACCTGCAGAAAGAATCAAAAAAGGGAAAGCCAGAAAGAGTGCTCTTACAGTGCTGCCTGAGCAGCAGGAAGGCTGCACACATGGGGAGCAGCCTGGCTACCTCTGCACGGGCCAAGCATCAGCCGCAGGTCCCTGTTGCCTGAACCATTTAGGCAGTGACGCAGAGTGGTCACAGAACCGTACTACACTGCCCGTGCTTTGCCCTCATGACAATGATTGCACAGAAATGCAGAAGAGTGGGGAAGTACCTGCTCAGGTCTTTTGAGAAAATCTGCGTCCTTCCCAAAAAGAGTCCCTCGCAGGTGCCACTTGGCAGGAGACACGGTGCATTCTTATTCCAGTCTGCACTTTAGGGCCAGGGTGTTTGTTCATTTCTCAAACGGAGAAACATTGCTTCACAGCAAAAAGGAAGATTTCTGTTTGCAGGCAGGCAGAACTATTTTGCCCTTGGATCAAGTCACTAAATACATTTTGACAATGTCGTACCTCATTCACTAAGCAAATTTTGGCTGTTTGGGCACAGATGGCACACTAGTTGTATTTGACTCCTTATCAGAGGATGAACATGTGGAGAAGAGCAAGAGATAAGCTGCTCAGTAGTCCTGGCACGTGCTCCCAGATTTCAGAAGACTTTTAAAAGGCAAGAAGTGTTGTTATGGAATAGGTAGAATTGAATGCTCTGCGCTCCAATAACCCCTGAGCTTCTTTCAGCCACTGTCATTGAGGTCAAGCCCTTCCACGCATACTGATGCGCCACACACCAGAGGACGTTGGAAGTCTAAGAAAATACACGCCCAGTCTCCTGGCAGAGATGAGGGCTGAATTTTCGGGCCAATTTTTGCAAACTAGTAAATGTACTTTTTTGTGGAACTCCTAAACACCCACTAATTTCTTCAGCAAACAGATGTTTTCCTCCAAACCCCTCTATTAATTCTCATCAATATTAGCAGAGTGGCCCAGCACCACCATTCTGCATCTGTTGCAGAGCACAGCAAAGCTGCTTTGCAACTTGATCCCTTCTCTGGATAAGATCAGTAAACCAAAAACCTGATTCAAACACATTGAAAAGAAATGTCTTGTAGCCAGAAATGTCACTGTGAATTATTTCCCTGAGACAAACACCATCTACAGCAGCAGGCTCGTTCCGCTAAGGGGTCTATAATTGACAGCAGTTAGCCTAGGTGAGGCATCCCCACCAAGAAGCAAGTGCCATACAGGAGGTGCTGTGCCCGCAAAGCAGCTCCAGCCCACAGCAGATGCCACAGGACTGGCTTACTGTTGTGGTCCCAAGCAGTTGTTCCATAAAAATATGGACAGTAGTGCTCAAAACCTGCGCCAGCCCCTCTGCAGACACTGGGGTTTCGCAGACCATGAAGGAGTCATAGCAAGATGCAAACTCTTTATGACTGTAAGCATTACTGCAGCTCACTCCTCTGTTTGGAGCGCTATAGATGGAACTTGTAAAGACGGTGCAATTCAAAACGCTCACTTGAGGGGTAAATAAGAACAGCCTTTTCCCTACTGAAGTTTCAGGTGCAGTTATGTACTAGGATTGAAGGAACAGTATTGAATTATATGTTTTTATGAATAATGAAACAACAGCATTGTGAGTTTTCAAGCCTTACAAGACCTGTCTTAAAACCATTTTTTAAGAAATTGCAGTGTGAAAGACAGCAGCGATATAAGAAATGAGCTTTACAGTGATCTATCAAACACTGCTTTGATCCTGACAGCGGCTTGTGAAGATTTATCTTCCTTTGCATAACAGGAGCATTCCCCACAGGCTGCTGATGCCGCGGCATTTGCGCACTGATCTGTTTTCTCTCGTCGCAGGAGTTCCCCTTGGCAGTGATCCGGGGGCAGGAGTGCTACTGCGGGTACCCCACGGCGCGCTTCCCACTGCGGCACGGCGCGGACCGGCGGCTGTGCAGCGCGATGCCCAACGCCAGCAGCGCTGCCGCAGGGGGGTACTGCCAGGCCTACCAGACCCCGGTGCAAGGTACGAACCTGCAGCCCCAGCCCCTCCTGCAGCACGCGGGAACACCTGCCTCACAGCAGCCTTACCCACAGCGCACGGGCAGCGAGAAAACAGCCCCTGCCTAAATCCTCATCTCACAGTCACGCCCATAAACATTTCTCCAAATCCAAACAGTCTCTTGTTAAGCTGCACAGCCCCTCCACTAAGAAAAATAATGGTTTTTCAGATGAAGAGGAGGCAGAACCTGCGCAGCCAAACCAAAGGCATTGGGGCCAGGACCCCACCTGAGCACACGCCAGCCTGTTAGGCAGGCACAGAGACAGCTCAGCAGGCTCTGACTGCGCTCTGCCCGTCCTCCTCCAAAATACTCATCTTTCTACGTGCCAAAGCCAGAGTGTAACGCAGAGCAATGCCCCAAAATCCAGTGAACCATCAAGGTAGTACCTGTAGCTTCTTCCATGCAGTGGTTTGCACCATGTTCCACAAAAGTACGTACAAGCTTAAAGTGAAGTGCTTCACTGGAGAGGCACTGTGTTTTTCCCAACATCCATTGTTTTGCTCCATTTCCCAGTTCAGAGGTTGACTGCAAATAACAGCGTGTATAAAGACCATGCAAGAAGAATGCTCACTTTCATGAAACTGCTACTATCTACCACATCTGTGTAGATAAGGAGCAGCACAAGACAGTCTTCTTGGCACCATGCTGGCACTTTCAGGCCATGGCTTCATCTGAAGGCTGCTTTGAAGAACAAAGTGACTGATGTCTAATTTATTTCCTGGCTTCTTTTTGAGTCATCACATAGCTGAAGCTCACTCTTTCCCCCTGCACTTGCTTTTAATGCACACCAAGCCATATGGGCAGGACTTACGGAAGCTGGCAGGAGAGCTCTGTTCAGACCCTGCTGGCGGTCAGCACTGGGAGGGCTCCTAACTGATTTGGGCCCTTTTCTGGAGAACCATAACCCAGAGGCTGAACTGAGTGCAGTTTGTTTCAGTAAAAGAGTTTCTCCTGCGTTATAAAACTTGCTGTTTGCAGGTACAGTGACATATTTGGGGTTTCACTGCAGAGTCAGCCTGCCAGGCAAACAGCAGCTAGCAAACAGACATCAAGGGGCTTTTATAACAACTTGCTGGCAAGTAGAATAGTTCACTGCAACTCTGATAAGAAGTGTCACCTAACACAAAACCAGTGAAAGTCTTTTCTGAGGATAATCTCTTTGGCCCCTTATGGCTGAGTTAATTTTCAGAAGTAGCTGACTCACAACTAGACTTAAATTGATAGCCTATATTTGTAAGGGAGAAAAAAAGCAATAAACCCTGTAATCAAAGGCTGTCAGTGGAATTAATTAAAAAACCACAATGCTAACAATGAATTATTTTCTGTACCCACAGACACCCGCTGTACAGACAGGAAATTCCTAACCACAAAATCCAAAGGGTTCATTGCTTTGTCAAGCTTCCCAGGGGCTGGCAACACGTGGGCTCGCCATTTGATCGAGCATGCCACGGGCTACTACACAGGCAGCTACTACTTCGATGGAGCCCTCTACAACAAAGGTACCCTTCCCAGGGGGTGATGGGGCACAGAGCCATTCTGAGGCACAGGGCTGTGCTTGCTCCAGCATCCTTCTGCTTGGAGCCACCCAAGGCCATCGCTGCTGTTGATCCCAGCAGACAACGAGGAGCTCACAGGGTGGCTCCTGCCCCAGTAACTCTGCTGGCAGCAGCCCTGGTCCCAGGTGGGCAGCATGTTTAATCAACTGGTGTTTTCACAACAGTAAGGCCTTGTTTAAGAGTGTAAAATGTCACAGACATATGGTCACAGGGAAAAAAAACCCACAACCATCTTGTCTTATAAACAGGCTTTAAAGGAGAAAAAGACCACTGGCGAAGTAGACGGACCATCTGCGTGAAAACACATGAAAGTGGCAAGACGGAGATTGAAATGTTTGACTCTGCTATCCTGCTGATACGAAACCCATACAAGTCACTCATGGCAGAGTTCAACAGGAAATTCGCTGGGCATCTGGGCTACGCTGCAGACCGCAACTGGAAGAGCAAAGGTAGCGTGTGGGGCACCCAGGGCTGCTGCAGTCAGAGCTCAAAGCCTGTAGTCATATCATGCTGGGAGGGGTAACACGGGGACCTGATCCCAAAACCTGAGGGAGCACTGCAATTCAGTGGGACTCAAGCACCACCACACAGAGACCAGACCCAGAAGCACGCAGGCTCTGCCTGTCGCCACTGACAGCAGTGCAGCACCTGCACTGCAGCGTCACTACCAGAGGAGCACACAGCAGAGAATGCCTGGTGTGCAGCCCATCCATCAGGCTGTGCGCTCTGAAGGAAGTTTGCCCCTGCACCATGTAATAACAGAGAGAAATCTAATTTAAAATTGAGGGTTTGATGAAGCATGACTTTTCCTGAAGGAAATTTTACAGCACTGTATGGGTGCTACTGCATTGCAGATAAATAAAGATAGGAGCAATAAGGGGACTTCAGCATTCTATGAACGCACAAAATGACTGCTGGATGGTGGGACTGCGATATCCCTGCTGCACACACCGCTGCATTCAGACTGCAGCAAAGGAAGGATTCAGCACACATCTCTCCCCTTATGCATTTCAGGCATAAAAGCTGTGCCTAGGCAAACCACTTAGCACAGGGCTCGGGGGACAGCAGGAGAGTGCCCTTAGTCACAGCATGTTTCTTTCCCAAGTCCTTACATCACCTTTCATCAGCCACAGCTCAAGATCCATTTATTAAAACCCAAAACAGCCCTCAGAAAAGGGAAACAAAGCCTGGAGAGAGTGGCTTTCCCGTACTGCAAACTACAAATAGTCATATTTTGGCCACAGTTGCACTTTATCCAGTGCAAAACCTTCAGCTTGACCTTCAGAAAATTACCACAGGCATCTAACAAGAGATTAAGGTGTCACATACGGCAGTAGCAGGAAAGTATTTCAGTAAACTTTGTCACAGTGATCCTGGCATGTGATGGCAAATCCTTCCCATGTGCCAGGAACAGAAGCACCTTCCCTATTAATCCTGTTTCCTTAAACCATCTCCCCAGAAGCAGTAAGAAAGTTACATTACTCAACTCCTCTGGATTGAGAAGCACCCCAGGCCCAGCCAAAACCAGGGTCTCAATGCTGCACTTACATGTATATTGATTTATATGTACACATATATATGAAATATATAATAGCCCCCATATCTTTCTCAAACTACATTTGAAACAGAGGTAAAAATGTAGGAAAAAAACTACAGAGGCAAAAAAAAATATGTATCTGCTTGAAATAATGTGGCAAAGAACTGCTCAAATGAGCAGCCAAGCAGGACCTGCTCAGTTCTGCTTCACTGCTCTCATCCAAATGCTTCTCCCGTCTCTTTTTGCCCTTCCCTAGCTCCTGCATGGAGCTGCCTGCTTGTGCAAAGAGGAGTGTTCAGCTCCTAAAAGCACAGCACATTGAAGATGCTGACCTGCAGCTTTGCACCTGTGCAGCCTGCCCACTCCAAGGGGCTCCCAGGCAGCTGGGTGACTCTCAGCACTGCTAATGCCTGACACCAAGAAGATCACGTGCCTGGTGGCCACGCATTTGGAATTCTGTGTCCTCACCAGTTCGCACGGTGGGAGAGCAGTGCCCATCTCCTCACCATGACTGCAGAGCTGAGAGTGGCTGCAGCCCTGTGGCTGGCCGTGTTGTTTTCTCCAGCACTCACATCCAACTACCTCATACATGACCAGCACCTCTAACCTTGTTCCAACTTAATACTTGGAACAGTGTGGAAGCATCGTGGCTAATATGTTCTCATTTTCCTGGTTTTCCCATCATCTAGACTGGCCAGATTTCGTGAACAGCTATGCCTCCTGGTGGGCCTCCCATGTCCTGGACTGGCTGAAGTACGGAAAGCGTCTGCTTGTCATCCACTATGAGGACCTGAAACAAAGCCTCATCCCCAAGCTGAAGGAGATGGTGGAGTTCTTGAACATGACAGTGACGGAGGACCGTCTGCTCTGTGTCGAGAACAACAGGGATGGGAACTTTAAGCGGTCTGGTGCTAAGCAAAAAGATTTTGAACCATTCACCCAAGAAATGAAAGATCTTATCAACAGATACATCCTGACAGTGGACGAGGCCCTGAGGGGAAGAAACTTCACAGGGCTGCCCAGAGAGTATGTGCCAAGATGATAGCATGGCAGCACTCAACTGTGCTTAAAAATAATTTTTTAAGGAAAATGAGACTAGACCTTTATAGCAGCTAAAGCAAAGATACTTGGGGAGTCTCCTGAGCAATGCAAATTCTCTCCACTCTGAGGTGTTCTTCAGGACACTAGGTGTTCCAAAAGGCAAACAGCAGATAGGATTTGGTTGGCAGAACAAGGCCAAGCCACCACCATCTGCCTACAGGTGCTGCTCTACACATAGACAGCCAGAGCCTCACGGCAGAGCTCTGGTGCTCCTTGCTGATGGGGATTTCATGGCTATCGGTTTGGAAGCACGCGTACGCAAAGGAGGAAAAAAGTGGCAACACTGATAAACAATTTTCATCTGAGCACTTCAGAAAAATCTGTTTCTTTCTTCTCAGCACAGCCCACAGCTTCCCTCTGCAGGGCCATCGGCCTGGCCCAGCCTGGCCCCATGCTCTCACCAGCCACAGCCCAGTGATGGAATAGAGGTCTGCACAGCTGCTCACTGCCCCTGTGCCAGGCGTTGTGCTGGGGAGCACCCAGTGAGCAGCACAACTGGAGGGACTGTGAGGCACTTCTGTTCATGTGAAATAAGGGATTCCTTGAAAACCTGCCCAAAAACATTAGTTTTAATAAAACAAGAAGTTTGTATAAAGGGAGCTGGGCTTCCTCTGTGTGTCACTGGCACTGAACACAATAAAACTGTCACAAACAAAACACGAAGTGCACTTCAGCCCTACCAGCACAGCCCCTGTGGTGCCCAGGCTGCAGAGCTGATACACAAAGCCAAGAGCCCTCTGTCATTGGCAGAAGTGGCACAAGTAAAGGAAAAGTAGCTCTGAAGCTTACTTTTTTCCCCATAAGTCCAGGAAAATGCAAGTGGGGGAAAAATTTTAAAAAAAAAAAAAAAAAAAAAAAAAGTACAGAGCAAAAGAGGCTGTAGCAGAGGGATCTGGAAAGCTTCATTCAGCTTCCACTACCTGAACTGCACTTAAAACTAACCTCCAACATTTTCCTTTTTTACCTAAGCTGTACCTCCTAATGATTGTCATTGAAATGTTAATGACAGAAAAGCAGGCAAAGCTGCAGAATGCCACTCCATGCAGCTGTAGAAACATCCTTAAAGTTGGATTACTAGAAAAAGAAAGAAAAAAAAATCCCTGAAATTCAGCAAGGGAAGCACACTCTTTAAACACCAGCTGTTAATATTTCTAAAGGAACGCAGGCAGGGCACCGTGCGTCAGGTCAGCAAATGCCAACCTGAGCCGTCCCTCCTCGCTCCAGGGCAGCTGGCAGCGAGGCGAAGGGCTGAGCTGTGGGGCAGTGCTGGGACGGGCGCAGGGCTCTGGCACCTCCCAAAAACCCGGCTTGTTATAGCAACCAATGCCCACAGATGAGGAACAGGGGATGTCTCTATGTTTTGTATATAACATTACACACATCTTATATACGCAGGTACATAATAAACTGATACATACGTGTGTTTATCTATTTCCTAAGTACACACTTCAGATAGTAAGAGTAGCCAAGCACTTCTTGGGCCAGGGCACAAACCCTGCTGCTGCCTGCACTACCACACGTGAGTTATTCTCACAAATACACTGCATTCCATCTTAAAAAGATTTGCAGCATTTTTTAGTCCTTACTCCCCCAGGAAGAAAGCGGCAGAACTGCCATTTAACAGCCAGGAGTCATCTCCAAACTGGCAGTCTAACACACATTTATTACTCTTGCTGCCCTCCTTAATCGTCCCAGATGCCCGCACAGACACCGATCACAGCCTCTTCCTTCCCAGACACCATCTCACAAGCATAAATGATCTGTGCAGCTTTAACCTTTTATCCCAAGTCAGCAGTTCAAAAGCACTTGGCAAGACAGAGCTCTTTACCACGACTGACCTCAATACTGCACAGCAAACCATAAGAAGGTTGTGCAGGCATTATGCTGATCCATGCAATATAAGTAGTATTTGGTGTTTGGTTTTTTTTTTTAAAAAAAAAAACAAAGACAGGGTACAAGTTTTATTTACATTTCTGCTTGATACACAGACTCTGGTCAGGCACGGAAGGAGAAAAGCCAAACGTGTGGTTAGTGCTGTCCAGGTCATGGACTATCATAGAATCCTTACAGTTGGAAGGGACTTTAAAGGTCATCTAATCCAACTCCCCTGCAATGAACAGACATCTACAGCTAAATCAGGTTACTCAAAACATGATTATAGAGGTCTACCTCAATTACATAGGACTTCTGGCAGAAGACCCACAAAACCTGACTCAGATACCTTTGTTTGAACTGCTTTCCCCACAGCTTGTTTAGAGATTCTTCATTCTTCCCAAGGGATTGTCTGTAAACAGAGGTTATCTAACAATTCCTGGTATGCTGCAGGGGGCCCTCTGTATCCAGAGGGACGGAGCAGGTCTTAGAGGGCAGAAGGCTCTGAAGAAGCAGATTGTTAGAGCTAGTACAGACTGCAGAACAAATCTTACTGGGACTCCCTTGCTTCAGCCAGGTCACAGAACGACACTTAACAATGAAGTTCTTAGAACCAGTCAAATTCAGTTGTATCTTAGGCTGTCATGAGTAAAAGCCAAGTAGCGAGTGTTAGGCTTTATTGAATTATTTCTCCTACTGCATGCGCACATCCTGCTGATACGTGGGAGTGGATGAAGGAAATTAAAAGAAAAGCAATTTCCCTGCAAGGCAGGTTTTCCTATACTCAACAAGCTACATGCTCATCATACTGAGCTTTAATTAACCAGGATGTTTTAGTCAGAAAAAATAAGCTACCATGCCATTAAAAGCCATGTTGATGTTCACATATATTCTTCTCCTAATTTTATATTCAGCAGTAGGATAGCAGAGATAGAAGCATGCATGCAATTCCCTCGAGCCTTCAGTTTCCTTCAGGAAGTTAAGGCTGCAATGAGTCATAAGCAGGCAGTTAGAACAAAACAGAGACGCTACATTTCAAAAAATAAGAGTTTAACCCTTGAACTTTTCAAGCAATCCTGTCACAATACACAAGCAGAGTGAAGACTCTCCATCCACTCATAGCTGCACACGAGGGCTTGGCCCATCCCACCTGCTCCACTCCAGCCTTTCACTCAGGAGCTCAGTGCCAACCTCCAGCTGCCCCACAACCTCAACCTACTTCTCTGTTAAAGGCAGAAGTTGCTGATGCTCGCATTCCCCCTCTTCTTCCAGAGCAATGAGTGCTGGGACCCACAAAAGGAGACATCTGCAGATCCAGCACTGCAGCCTGTGCAAGGTTCACTGTGTCCATGAACCATATTTCCCAGGTGCTCTGATGCTGATCCCCCAGCCACTGAAGCTAAAATCTCCCCAGACAAGAAGCAGTAGAGACATAAGGTCACATTCCCTACCAAACTGACCTGAAGCCTGCACATGCCATAAGCACAAAAGCAGAAATAATTTTGGCCAGGCCCATCCTGAAGACATGAGCAGCGATCACCCCATCACCCCCTGCCATAGCAGGGGTCCTGGAAAACTCCTATATGGAGGGAGGAGAGAATCTCTCCAGGGAAAGGCACTGGCTGGTATCTCTGCTTGCGATCTGCTTACCTCATGTCCACTTGAGGTCTTCTAGAGAGGGGGAAAGAAAGAAAGAAAAAGGGTTAATTAAAAAAAAAAAAAAAAAGTAAAGGTAAACTTCCCAGGCACAGAGGACAGAACAATAGGAGAGAAAATAGCTTTGCTTCCTGGAAACTGGCTGCAAAACAAAACCTCTAAAGCAACAGTAAAAACATGAACATTATCACCAGCCCTTACACAACTCAGCCATTCTGAGTTGCTTTATTAATTTTTCATTAAAATCATTTCAACTGAAACCTATTATTCACTGCTAAGACCAAGCTACTACTCTACTACAGCAACATTAACCTCCATAAAATAATTAAAGGATGGGTTTTCAGCAAGAGACCTTGTGTGTCACCTCTTTGGAGCTTAATGTGTCTTTCAATGGCCTTGAATATAATGAGATGTTCAAATACAGAAAGTTGAGTTACTGCATTTTCCACTGTGACATCTATGCAGCCACAAAGATCCAACTTCTCAACTGTGTTACTTATCATTTACTTCTGACCCTGGGTAGCTGAGAGCAATCTTTAAGGAAGCTATCCTTTTAATCTGCTTTTTTTATATTAGCCTTTAATTACTCTAACAAAATTGTAGATGTACAAATTAAAGAACCAAGTCAGCTCTTCTCCTTTGAGTCACAACATCTCAGAGGAAGGCATTTTTAGCCTTCTTCACACTCAGATGAGAAGAGATCCTTGTCCCAGCACTGTTCTTCTCTCCTTGTAACATCTCTTTATTTTTAATTAACTGCTCTAAGCTCAGAAGTTTTTCCTATTGCAATACTTAATCCACCACCTGACCACCACGGTCCAGGTTCTCAAGCAGTAACAATGTTTGCTTCTTACAGCAACTCACACAAGTGTTCAGGTTATACCAGGAAATGCATCATTTCTTTGCCTTGGGCATGAGCACTGTTAACAGACCCAGTTTCAGCCCAGCTGCCTGTAAGTGCAGCAAAGAAACAAATGCCTGCTCTTAGTCACATAAAATGGCATAGAGCACTCCCATAAATGAAAAGAGATACAATTTCAGTGCATTATTAAAATGAAATGTTTTATGCAACAGTTAAGACTGTGCGATAAACCCAAAGACTATTAAATGAAATCAATCCTAATTAATGCTACCTCATTCCATTGAGCCAGCGCTCCCCCACCATTCCTGCAGAGCTCCATGCCTCAGTCTGGGCCATCTCTCGGACCGCAGCCCAGTGCTGCGCCCCTGAGAAGCAGAGGGGCACAGAGGCAGCATGTGGGACAGAGCTGTGGGACAGCTGGTGGCAGAAGGCTGACACGAGGTGGTTTTAAAGCTAAAGGATGTGCTGATTGAGCACGTCATGCCTGCTTGCTCCTGCCCAGTTTTGCAGGCAGAAGCACAGCAGCCCGGCACGGCAGCCCTGTGTGGCGGTGGGTGGGCAGGTGATGGCAGAGATAGGGAGCGTAGCTGCAAGTCTGTGAGAGGATGCCTTGCTCCCTGGGGCCTCTGCACAACTCCACTCCTGCTGAATTTGTCTAGAAACTCCACTGCAGGGAGCAGGCAGGGATGGAGCGCATAGCAACGCCTTGCTGAGTGGCGCCCAGCTCCTGCCTCACTTGGCCTTGGCCACAGCTCCTTCGATCCTGCCCACTGCCTTCCAGCAGCACCAAGCACAGAGCGCTGGCACTTCCAGACCAGCAGCACTGGGTCATCACACACTCTTAAGATCACTGAAAAGGAGAACAATTTTCTTGTGCGGATCATAGTGGAGAGATCTTTAAGGTCAGTTCTACATCAGCAGAGCGCGCTGGGAGAAATACCGCGTAACTGGAGCGCTTCCTGCAGACCTGCAGTGACTGGATTACAAGCAATTATCACAAAACCGCTGCAGAGGTAGAACAAATGATCGTAGCCTTTGGTTCTTTAAGACATGTTGAAAGTCTGCATTAACCTGTAATGCTTCTAAAATAAAGCACTTAGCACTGCCTTAGCAAAATTATACAGCTCATTTCATTGAAGAAAATTCATGTCGCAGCAGATAAGAAGCACAGATAGAAAAATGATTTAAAAGAAATACCTT